GTGACACCAAAACACCCATCGTCCTAAGATACCCATTGTTCAGCACACTAAAAACATTTTCTTGGACAGTGAAACCAATGCCATAGTAAAGAACATTAAAGAAACAATTCCTGGTAGAATTCATTTCAGAAGAGTCCCTCCAAAGTGATACCAAGCTTCAAACAGAAAAAATTCCTTGACTGCTATGGAGACAGCACTTCTCAGACACCTACATTCTCCGGGAAGTCCCAAACAACACGACCCTCCCTGCTCTAATAAGAAGTTATGGTACAATGGGAAATATTTGGTTTTTGTCCCTGATTCCTGGCACCAAACTGTTAAAACGCTTTGGAATCTCCTGAGTGGTAAGTGTCTTCTTTCTTTGGTATGATAATGAGATGACTCTAGGCTGCAGGGCTTATTCAGAAAGACCACCATAATTAGATGACTGGGACTTTCAGCTCCTTCCCCAGACCTCTGGGCTGCAAAAGGGGCCACAAAATGAGTTCAATCACCATGGCCAAAGATTTAAGCAATGGTGCCTATGCCACGAAACCACCATAAAACCTTAAAGGACAGGTTCAGAGAGCTGGTGCATTAGTAAACACACCAAAGATGTCATGTGCAGAGAGGGCATGGACACTCCACACCTCTCCTAGCCCCATACATCTCTTCCATTTAGCTGTTCCTGAGTTGTATCCCTTACAATAAACTGGTGAAATTTATAATAAAATAGTAAAGGGCTGTCCAAGTTATGAGAGTCAAACTATTGATGTGTGGGTATGGGCAGAGGTCTGGGAAACTCTCAAATTTGCAGTCAGTGAGGCAGAAACAATCGTAGCTGGGCACCCTATTTGCAGCTGGCATCTGAAGTAGAGGAAATCTTGTGAGATTGAGCCCTTGATCTGTGGGGTTTGAGCTAAATCTGGATAGTTTGTAGCAGAACTGAAATGAATTGCTGGACACCCAACCTGCGTCACAGAATCAGAAAATTGGTATGATAAAAAAAAAGAAACCCTCAAGAAACTTGGACCAAAGAGGAGATTAAGTTTACTTAGCTTTATTATTTCAGAATAAAAGTTGTGTTGTATGTGGCACAATAACCCAAGCACCTTCGCCACTCAGACCACTTGGGAAACTACCATAGTGATTCAAGTGAAGGGTGGTTAGAAGCTAATCTAGGAGAAAGGCCACTTTCTCCCATATTCTAACAACCAAATAAATAATTTAAAAGACAAAGCCCCACATACATGTCCCTAATAACTCAGTAAATGTTATCTATCTTCTGTTTTAAACCATGAATGAAAATGAAATCATTCAATTATCAGATTGACTGGTAGGTATAATATAAATTAGTATCTGTATAAAAATAAGAGCAATTAGTATAACCATTAGTTGGGACCAAGACATTAATTAAGCCAACAGAGACTTAGTCAAGAAATGGCACCAAAAAAAAAAAAAAAGAAAGAAAGAAAAGAAAAAAGAAATACTGTGCTGCTATATATAAAGATAATAATAAGAAAATATGCAGCTTGGAACCAAACTGCAGAATACCTTGAACACAAATTACTTTAATTCTATAAACAATGGGAAAATCAAGAAATGTTTTTTAGTACAAAAAAAGAAAGGATTAGACCACACTTTAGGAAGATGACTCTGTGAACAATGGAATAAAAAGCATACAGAACTGGGGGTAGGGTGACCAGTTAAGGGAGTATTGCGTAGGGTGAGCCTAAAGTCACACAGCGGCAGTTTACCCTCAATTTTTAACCATTAGGTGGGGAAAAAGAGAGGTAGAGCCCTGTGCATGACTGACACTACATGAGTCTGTATTTTCATTTTGTAGAATCACAGTTGAAAACCAACTTAAGACTAAATACAGTGTGGGACCCTGGATTAATCCTAAAACAGGAAAGGACATTAGTGGAAAAGCTTGTAAAATTCAAATAAGTTTGTGCTTTAGTTTATAGTATCTTAACAAAGTTAGTTTCTAAGTTTTGAGAAATGTTCTATGGTCATATATGATGTTAACATTAAAGGAAGCCAAGTGAAGGATGTTTTTAGACTTACATTAGAGTTGTAAAATGTTCTCAAAATAAAGCTTTTGAAAAAAAAGAAATCATCTCCCACTACAAAAACAAAAATAAGCCTCTATGTAGACAGCGCATCAAACCCAAAGAAAGCTATTCTAAGTAGGGCCTCAAAGAAGTGGTTGCCACCTGGAGGGAAGAAAGAAGGGAAGAAGAGGAGTTACCTGCTGTATGCATTACACATTAGAAGTGTCTGAACTATCTGTGTCTATAATCCATAAAATGGCTTCAGGGATTCACAAGTCCCCCAAAATTACATATAAAGGTATCTATGTATTTTCCTGAAGTCAAACACTTAAGAATCACTAATAGTTAGATATGAAAAATAGATGACCTAAACAGAAAATAAAACTATGTATAATACTCTAATATTGCTATGACAAATCACAAGTTAGATAGATTCAATGTACAAAAAATGCAAACAAAACTACAATCAAAATAAGGAAAATATGGGAAACATAGCTCCAATGCAAATGACAGAATTAATATCTACTGATTTCATACAGATTTACAAGAAAACTATAAACAACCCCAACTGAGTAAAAGTAGAACAAGAATAGACAGCCTGCTAAAAATGAAACAGATTCCATAACAGAACTCCACTGGCAAGAGGAAATAACAGCTCATCTATAAAATCATAAGCTTTCTTAAACCCATCCCAGAGCTGAGGTCCTAAAGCAGTAAGGTGAACTGCTTCCAAAGAGTGACAAGTCCCCAAAGACAAGACAAGACACATGAACTGTTTTCTTTTAGTGGAACATGGAAGGAAGAGGAGGCACAATAAAGGCAGCAAAGAAAGGAACAGTTAAAATATTCTTAAAACTCTTAAAGGCTGAGTGTGGACCAGTGGGATAGGTTAGTCTAACAGAGAACCCCAGACACAAGGAGTTCTATACTCATTCACAAACAGGCCTACAACGGGTGCTCGGAAGACAGCTTGGAATCAGGTCTGGAGATGAGAGAGCGAGCTCCCCTTAGGGGTGTGTAGGCACAAAATTCTGCCCACTCCCTGAATTGCTGTCTCATACAACCCAAAAGCCTTAAGCTGATGGGAAAGGGCAGGAAACCCTCCCAGGTTCCACTGTTTCCAGGGGAGGGAGAGAAACAAATATGGTCTGCTATTAGGACACAGAAGAAACCTGGCCCATGATCCTGAACTGATACAAACCAAGGATCAGCTAAAGCATGTGAGGAGCAGACAACTCACCTTCCAAGACCTTCCATGTTCAAAGCGCAGGTTGGCAACCATGCAAGAAGTGGCAGGGACATTGAGAGAGACCAACTCCAAGACCCTGGAGCATAGGTCCTGCCCTATACTGAAGCTGGGCCAGCAGAACCGAGAACAACCTCTGTTCTCCCTTGCACTAGGTAATAAACAACAGCAGTTTACTGCTGAGAGAAGAGCAAGAGCATGGAGAGTGCTGCCCTTCTGTGATACAGGCATGCAGAGAACACTAAAAACCAACAAAAACCCTCCAGCGGGCTTGATCCCACACTAAGCACCAGGTAGGAAAGCCTACGACTGGAGAAATTTGAAGCTGGTACATTAAGAGTAACTACAGAATAAGGAACCCAAATCCAGCCAGCTACTGACTAAATTAACTCAACTTATTACACTAACCGTGTGACAGAAAGAGTATAATGACCAGAGCATAAATACTATATACTCAATCTCTAATGTTCTTCTAGACGCAATTCCCAACATTCAATAAAAATTATGATACACCAAAAAGAGAAAGAAAAGCTACCCACTGTTAAAGAGACACAGTAAGATCCAGAAGTGGCCCAGAGGTTGGAACCACCAGGCAGGACTTTAAAATAACTATCATCAATATGTTAAAGGATCGGATGCAAAAGTGGAAAATAAGAATGAACAGATAGAGAATTTCGACAGAAAGGTATACACTATACATAAATAAAAAAGAGCCAAATGATGACAGAATTTTTTTTTGACAACTGTCAAGAGTTTAAGAATTCTTTCTATGGCCAAATCAATATATATATACTGGATAAAGGTGAGGAATCAGTAAACTAAAAAATATATCCAGACACAGGTGATTAAAAAAAAGCTGTATGTCTAATATATCCAGTAAAAGATACTAGATCAAAGAGCTTTATGGTAACAGGATTTAAAAAATCAAGAGGGGCTTCAGATGCTATAAGCCACAGGTAGGATGGAATGAGGTACAACGATCCATCACTGTCTGTGTACCACTATGTCAGCAGTCCCTGGGCAGCACTCATAGCAAAGCAGGGACACTGTGACTAGGCAGGAGAGTACCCACTGATACCCCCACATAAGGCCAGGTCCTCTCCAACTGAGGGAACTGTGGGACCCTCTGCTGGGACAGGGGAAGTATAGAATAAGGACTAGGGAGGAAAGACAAGTAACTTCTGCACACTGAGTCCTCATTAAACTCAGAGAGAATCAGGTACTCACTAGTGGGCCTGAGTGCTCTGGATCACATCAGGCCACTTTATGCTCCCATATGCTCAGGAACCAGACAAAGGGCTTGATGACCGGGAACTTTTCCCTCCCAAAATTCAATCACACAGACACCATCACCTTGTCACAGGGAAAATCTGGGCACTCTCTAAATGTCTAGGAAAAGTTAACTACAGTATACACTTCAACTCAAAAACATAACAATGCCAAGCTGTACAACTGAATAATCAAAGATGAATTTTCTCTGTTGGGTATTTGTGTGGTAAAATTACTAGTCAAACACAAGATTATTTGTCATGCCTCCTGTGGTTTACACTGACTCTAACACAGTGACATATACACAAAGAAACTGTTAGCATGATGAAGAATTTAAAATACAAATGTTATTCCATTTGCCACCTTTTCATATTTTTCTTTTTGCAGGGGGATGGTAACGAGGTGGAAATCATTTTTCTTTGATGATTCCCTCTTTGCCCTTCTCTTACCCGTTCCTGCAGAAGTTCAACAACTTGCTGGACACAGTCATTTACATCACAGGAGTCTGTTTTCAGCACCAATTCAGGGGCCTCTGGTTTTTCATATTCAGAATCAATCCCAGTAAAACCTATAAAAGTTACCAGAGAATAGAACGGGGTAGAAATTAAAATTAAAATAGGTTTATTTCTTCAGTGCAAGTCTCTGCTCTGTGGGTTCATATTCATAAAGATCCTTCTAAGTTACAGGGTTACAGTATTGAAACTTCTTTCTTAGGAGAAGGTTTCTAATCGAACTTCTGTTTTGTCTTTATACACATATAAATGATTCTCATTGTTCACAGTAGTTATATTCAATAAAGTTGCCTCACATACTAATTCAGTGAACACTGAACCATTCTTCCTAGAGGAAATATGGGGTTGGATTCCTGTGAAGCTAGCCTCTTGTCACAAAATTCTTAACAGTGATTAAAATATAACTGTTTTATATGTGTTTCTGTTTAAAGACACCTTATTTAATACGTATTGTTGGTTCTTTAACACTAAATCCATGTCCAACACACCATAACTCATGTCTGAACGAATCTTAACTAACACACGTTTTCTTCACCAGGCACATCACATCCTTCCTGCACGTAGGAATACTAGACAGTATTTCAGTGCTATGCCTGAAGGACATTTAAACAGCAAAATCACCAACAAAAAGCAAAAAAATGTAAAAAACACAGCACTCAGAAAAAAATAATTCTGGCTAAAACACTAGTTCTTAAGCTGACGCTCAAATGTGGCTATACACTAGATCAGCAGGTCCGAATATCCATGAGATGCTCATTTCACTATTCTGGGGTACAGCCTGAGCATTGCATATTTTTAGAGTTCCCCCAGGTAATGCTAATGTGCAGCAAAGCTTGAGAACCATGGTGTTAGAAGGCTTGGCTTAACATTTTAAAAGTCTAGGAATTCTCTTCCTAGCTAAATTATCTCGAGTGATTATAATAAATGTACTCTATTATAAGGAAAACGTTTATATTTAAGTAGATAATGATTACTTGAGTAGTAATCATGTCAATAAGTGTCAAAATGGCTGCCACAGGGATACATTTACAGTCTAGTAAATGCCATGTACAGGCCTGAAGCCTAAGGTCTACTGAATGTGTGCAATCTCATCTGCCCTTGAAGGTTTACCAATGTGGCTGTGAAAGAGCATCGAGAGGCAACTTTTTAAACACCACTCTGAGTTAAAGAGATCCTTAGAAACAATGAGTAAAAGATTCTTGGGAACAAACAACTCTACAACCAGGAACTCTTACCACCAGGGCAAACCTAAAATAAATAACTGTGCGTACACATGCACATATGTATATAATTAACCCAAAGAACATTTATCAATGTCTACTCAGAGGAATTTAAACAAGTAAATCAGTCAGGAAAGTAAACATGAACAACATGTGTTAGGACCTGCTGATCTAGTGTATACCACATTTGAGTATCAGCTTAAGAACTAGTGTTTTGGCCAGAATTATTTTTTCTTTCAACTATTTTATTGTCAGTCACCACTTAATACTTTTGGGAATACTGGTAATGCAAAAATTTCTCCTTGAGTTCAGGACTTCATGTGATTCTTAGAAATATGAAATAGAAGCAAAATGAAGTAACTGGGCTGTAGACTTGGAATATATGTTTTAGAACATTTATCAGTGTCTACTCAGAAAAATTTAAGCAAGTAAATCAGTCAGAAAAGTAACAACTAACATGTAGAAAACTAAACTGATACAAATACACTCCCAGATAGGCAATGCAAACCTGAAGTGACTCAAGGTATTTTAGATGCAGTCTTATTCATCTTTGTAGCCTAAGCACTGAATATATACCTTGCAAATAGCATTGATCAATGTGTGCTGAACATCAGATTTCCACTCACCCTTCTAATCCATCCAGCAGGCACTTAGATGTGTGTGCCAGGTATTATTGTTTAAGGCCAGGCACTGTACTAAATTCTAAAGATACAAAAATGCTCAAGACATCCCTGCTCCCTTGAAGCTTACTCCAGCAGGGTACACAAATCTACCTCTCTCACAAATCCATCCTTGCAAAAACAACAAAACCAGCTACAATAAAAATAAGTACAAAATTTAGACTTCAGGATCCTGGACACATCACTTTGTTTTTCTTTGCCCAATCTTTATTACAAAAGACTGAAATGAAAAATGTGCATCAACAGAGAAGGAGACAGAAGTTAAAGGGCTAAACTGGCTTTTCTCCCATTGTCATAAATTATTCAGGTCAGCCAGCCTATTTTTTCTGAGTCAAAAAATGCAGGCTGGAGGAGCCAAGATGGCGGCATGAGTAGAGCAGTGGAAATCTCCTCCCAAAAACATATATATTTTTGAAAATGCAAAAAATACAACTATTCTGAAAAGAGACAACAGAACATACAGGACAAGAGCCAGACTACATCTACACCTGCGAGAACCCAGCGCCTCGCAAAGGGGGTAAAATACAAGCCACGGCCCGGCGGGACCCAAGAGCCCCTCACCCCAGCTCCCAGCAGGAAGAGAGGAGTCAGAGCGGGGAGGGAGAGGGAGCCCAGGACTGCTAAATACCCAGCTCTAGCCATC